GGAAGAAGGAGCGGCGGTGAAGCGGAGCAGGCATTCGTTGCTTACGAGTGTGTGCAAGTGCAGTAGCGTGCTGTATTTCCATTGTTAGAATTACAATTTTGCGAAAATACACGTAACGGTTGTAGTAAGTTCCTGCAATTAAAACCAGTAGACACTTTGTAAATAAATGTAAATATATTACTTGTGAAACAAAGTTATGTGAGTAAAATTGTAGTCACTACTTACCTGACCTTGCAATTGCAAACATTGTTGGTCCTTTGAGCCGGATGTGCATTTTCCGGATCAGTGCTGCACAAGGAGAACCAGTTCGTGGTATGTAATTGATAACAGCACAAAAAATGGATAACTTGATACAGATGCAACACGAAGTGCTCTAGAGTTTAGGACGCACATGTGAGAATTTGCGGAAAGCTGGGTCCGAAAAAATTACGTTAGGTCGCGTCCAGTCAACCATCGGATTGCTGGACAGAAAGTGGTCCCTGATCGAAGAGCGGCACGCAACTTTACGAATCGACCACGGGAATGATCTACAAAAAACGGAATACCACATAAAAGACTTCATGTCGAAAGCTGAAGAAACTTACCTTGCACAGAGAGGCAAACTTGTGGATTACGAACGTTCTCTCTCAGCAAAGCCCGACGAAGCCAGGAAAGCACTGGAAGAGCAGGCTGGTCCCTCCCGTCGCACCGTTCTGCCAAAAATTAAGTTGCCAGAATTCTCCGGGAAATATGAAGACTGGCCAGCATTCCGCGACCATTTTGTATCCACTATCGACAGCAACGAACAGCTTCCAACAGTGGAAAAGCTGCATTATCTGCGGTCATGTGTGCAGGGAGAAGCCGCCTCATTCATACAAAACTTGCCAGCAACTGAAGCGAGCTACAAAAGAGCCTGGCGTGAGTTAACCGACTTTTATCAAAACACCCGGCTATTGACGCGGTCATATTTAAGCAAGTTCCTAGCGCTCCAAAAAATGAAGAGTGAGAGCGCGGCCGACTTGAAGAAAATTTTTCATACTACCGTCAACATTTACGACGCGTTGGAGAATCTGGAGAGGCCGGTGTCAAGCAACGAGGACTTGTTCGTTCACATTATAGTTGATCTTTTGGGCCAACGCACGAGAGACTTGTGGGACGACCACATCAGCGAAAGCTTAGAGCCACCCTCGTTTAACCAGCTGAAAACCTTCATGCAGCGGCGCCTTCAGACTCTCGATGGACGGTTAGCGGCCAAGGACGCAAGGATTGACGCATCAAGCAAGCCTTCCGCGCCAAGCAAGGCTAAGAGTCACGTCGCACAAAAGAAGGAAGCCAATAAGAAGAATGCCAAAGAACGATGCTCCTTTTGCCTCAAGAATCACTTTCTCATGTTTTGCGAGAGCTTCAAGGGCAAGGCAGCTATGGAAAGAAAGGAACACGTTAGCGAAGCCAAACTCTGTATCAACTGCTTAGGAAAGCATAAAGTGAGCGAGTGTGTATCCAAGAAATCTTGCACAGCGTGCGGTGAGCGTCATCACACTTTATTGCACGACGCGTTTCGAGATGCCAAGAGTGATACTGGCGACGCTATAACTTCTCACACCGCGCTGAACCGCGCTGAAAAGCAAGTGAAGATCTTGCTGGCAACCGCTCGCGTTCGCGTCGCGGATCGATTCGGCACTTTACACTCCGCTCGCGCGCTTGTCGATCAGGGTTCGGAAACGTCCTTCTTATCCGAGTCACTCGCACAAAAATTGAGGCTACCGCGTAAACAAACGTCCGTAGCGGTAATAGGGGTCGGCGGAATCAAAACCGGGATCGCACGAGGCCGAGTGACTATGAAAATTATGCCTCACTTCAACAATTCGGCTTTCACCATTTCGGCTCTCGTGCTTCCAAAATTAACTGCTTATAGTGGCGGCTCTCACGTTACAGCGCGTTCGTGGAGCCACTTAAAACATCTGGAGTTGGCAGATCCCGAGTTCCTAGCCGTTGATCCAATCGACATTCTGCTCGGTGCAGATGTTTTTGCAGCCATCTTGACGACTGGAGTGCAGAAGGACGGTCCTTTGGAACCTGTGGCACAAAGAACATCATTAGGATGGATACTATCTGGAAGTTTGGCATCAAACGCTGGCGAAAGTTGCAATCAAGCAAACGTTCACCAGTGCATAACTACAGAGAAATTAACAGAGCTAGTCAAACGATTTTGGGAACAAGAAGAGATCCCGACAAAACTTTCAGGGCTGACAGAAGAAGAACAAAAGTGCGAAGACTTGTTTGTAAAGACGCATTTTNGTAATGTCACAGGTCGTTACGTGGTCCGGCTTCCACTCGCAAAAGAACTCACTGATCTGTCACCGACGCGAGGCGCAGCTTTACGATCCTTGACGCAGATGGAACGAAAATTCGCGCGAGACGAAAACCTGAGACAACTGTACATCGATTTCATGCAACAATATGTGGAGTTAGAGCACATGTCAGCCAATGAGCTACCTGATACTAAAGCAGGAATGAGGGTGTGTTATCTCCCACATCACGGAGTTCTTCGTGAAGCAAGCATCACAACGAAACTGCGTGTCGTGTTCAATGGTTCATGGACGCTTCCCGGTGGTGAGTCTTTAAACACTCATTTACTAACAGGAGAGAATCTGTTGCCTCCTCTGACCGACGTTCTGCTACGCTGGCGCGTACACCGGTTCGTTTTAGTAACCGACATCGAAAAGATGTATCGACAGATTTTGGTGCACCCCGAAGATAGAGACTTGCAACGAATTCTGTGGAGAGCCAACCCCGAAGACCGGATCATGGAGTATCAGCTCAACACGGTAACTTATGGGTTAGCATGTGCTCCGTTTTTAGCGATTCGCACATTGAAGCAGCTGGCAGATGACGAAGCACACCGGTACTCCAGGGGAGCAGCAGTTCTAAAACGAGATGTCTATGTCGACGATATTTTAACGGGAGCAAACACCCTTAAGGAAGCCCGAGAGCTGCAAAACCAGCTGATTTCGCTGTGCAAGGCAGGCGGCTTTACGCTCAAAAAGTGGTCTGCTAACCACACCGACCTCCTGGCCGAGATACCTGAAGAGGACCGTATGCCCTTGGTTCCACGAGAGTGGCAGCCGCCAGGGTGCCATACTACATTGGGTCTGCTGTGCCACACAACCAATGACAGCTTCTCCTTTGCAGTGAAGAGCAGCGAATTAAAGGCAATAACAAAAAGAACAGTCCTGTCTCAAACAGCACAGCTGTTTGATCCGCTGGGGTGGCTTGCTCCTGTGGTGATTAGGGCCAAGATTCTCATTCAGTCCGCCTGGCTGAAAGGGCTGGATTGGGATGTGCCCATGACAGACGAAGATTGCAAAGAATGGCGATCGCTTCAAGAAGAACTACAGGCCCTTGAGCACATTCGAATTCCTCGTAGGCTAACCGGGGTTCAAGATCTACCGGGGCTCGAGCTGCATGGGTTTGCAGACGCATCGGAACGCGCTTACGCAGCCGTAGTGTACTTGCGGTCCGAAAAAGACGACCAAGAGGCGGCCATCTCTTTAGTGGCAGCTAAATCCAAGGTCGCACCTCTAAAACAGGTTTCACTACCACGACTCGAGTTCTGCGCCGCTACCCTTCTCGCACAACTCGTCGCGTACATCAAAAGAATTTTGAGTTTACAGGAAGTCGATACGCATCTTTGGTTAGATTCCACTGTGGCGTTAGGATGGGCTCAAGGTCATCCCTCCAAATGGAAGACCTACGTGGCTAATCGCGTCGCAGAAATTCAAAGATTGACGCCAGATGCGTATTGGCATCATATACGAGGATCAGAAAATCCCGCGGACTGCGCATCCCGTGGCGTAAGTCCTCGTAACCTCACCAAGCATAATTTGTGGTGGCAAGGACCTTCCTGGTTGGCAGCATCTAAAAAAAAGTGGCCGGCATCGACGGTAACGACCTCAACGCAAGACCTGCCTGAAACTCGGAAGATTATGGCCGGAGTGGCTCAGCAGGATAACACGGAGTCAGAGCTTTTCTTGCGACACTCGACGTTGACTCGGCTGCTGCGTGTCACAGCGTGGTGCAAACGCTGGACACGCAACGAACCGACGAGCTCAGTCAACATCCCGGCTCAGCATCGAGGCAAAACCCCAGCGAGTTTAACCTGCGACGATCTGGAAGAGGCTCAACGGATTTGGGTTCGCAATGTTCAAGCGGAGAAGTACAAAACGGAAGTAACAGCTATTCGGAAGGGGGAATCGCTGAAAAGGGGAAGCTCGCTTGTGAGCTTAAACCCGTTCATTGACGACCAAGGCTTGCTGCGAGTTGGCGGGAGGCTTAAACATTTTCTGCTTTCATATGAAGAAAAATATCCCACCATCTTGCCAGCTTGTCCTCACATTACAAAACTAATTATTGATTCCTGTCACAGGAGAACACTGCATGGCGGAGTGCAACAAACCCTGGGTCTTCTTCGACAGCATTTCTGGATCCCGCAAGGACGATCAGCTGTAAAGAGGCACATTCATCGATGCGTTGTGTGCGTGCGATGGCGGGCGGCCACTCAACAACCATTAATGGCAAACTTACCTCAGCACCGAGTAACGCCTGCGAGACCGTTTCAACACACAGGGGTCGATTATGCTGGACCAGTCATGCTGCGATCATCAGCGGGACGAGGTCACAAAGCTTACAAGGCCTTCGTGGTCGTGTTCGTGTGTATGAGTACAAAGGCCGTTCATCTAGACGTGGCGTCAGATTATTCAGCTAACGCCTTCCTAGCGGCTTTTCGTCGCTTCACCTCTCGCAGAGGGTTGTGCCAAGCACTTTACAGTGATTGTGGCACCAACTTTGTAGGAGCTGATAAGCAGTTGCGGTCGATGTTCTCAGCCAGCAGCAAGGAGGCACAGAACATTGTTAAACAATTGGCTGCAGACCGCGTACGTTGGCACTTCAACCCGCCATCTGCTCCTCACTTTGGTGGGCTGTGGGAAGCTGCCGTCCGATCAATGAAGCATCATCTAAAAAGAGTGCTAGGTAACGCTACGTTAACGTACGAAGAGATGGCAACGCTCTTAACTCAAGTAGAAGCTTGTCTGAACTCACGGCCGCTGCAGGCGCTCACAGACGATCCGAACGACATGACAGCTATAACACCAGGTCATTTCCTAATAGGCACAGCTATCAACGCCGTCCCGGAGAAGACGCTGCTCGAGACGTCTGCCAGTAGTCTCACACGCTGGCAGCATCTTCAGCAAATGCGCGATCACTTCTGGGATTGGTGGTCAAAGGAATACCTGCGAAATTTCGTCTCACGACCAAAATGGCAAGTTGGAGGAGTAAATGTTGAGCCAGGGCGCCTTTGCCTTGTGATGAGCGAGAACACTCCACCTACCAAATGGCCATTAGCACGGGTCAGCAAAGTGCATCCCGGAAAGGACGGGCAAGTCCGCGTAGTTACCATCAAGACGGCTACCTCCGAATTAGTGAGACCAGTAGCTAAGATCATATTGCTACCTAAGGTGTCAGCGGACACCGAACAAAAAGAAGAGACTTTTTGAAATTGACATATTTTCTAAAGTGACGCTGCTTAAGGCAGCAACTACGACGACCAACGAGGCGCACTCACTCTTTATCATGTTTTAGGGCAACGCAGTGAATGACCCTCCATCGGTGAGCTGTCGGATACATTCCAACTAACCTCACGGGATCAAGGCCACTAACGATCCTCTGAGGAACACACAGTACCACACCTTAAACACACCGGTGCGTGGTGGCACGTCACTGGCCAAACTTCGATCACTACTCAAAACAACGCGAAATTCGGCTAATTGCGAACAAGTGGTATTGAAGCAAACAGCAATGCCAACACGCGAACTCAGCACTAAGGCGAAAGCGCCTCGACACGTGATAAGCAATAACATTGCCAACCGCCAAAACCAAAACGACTAAGTCGCCGGCGTCACCGGCAAGGCGGGCGGGATGTTCAAAGCGCCGAAAACTTCGAGCCGCGGGCTCTTATAAAAAATTGTAACTTAGCGCGGCGCAGGAAACCGTGAG